GCTGAACATGTCAAATTTTTGGCAGCTCAAGAAAAAGAATGGCAGTCGGGGCAAAGTTGGATTTCACAAGTGTAATATGAGGAGAGTCACCTGCGTGGAATATATTTGTGAGACGAATGTTTGATATTATGAATTTTGTTACGAAGTTTGGTGGATTTTTATGGAGTCCAATGGAGTTATTGGGCAATTCGTTTTTTTAATTTTTTTTAAGAGAAATCTTTATTGAACTCATTGGAATGCAAGCCTCAAATTCAATTCTTCCTCTAATTTTTCGTCCTCCATTTCATTGTCTTGTTCATCTTTGTCAATTTATTCATCTCCTATTTCTCCTCAGTGTCTTCCTCCTCCAACAAATCTTCCTAAATTGTTTTATTACCCCATTCATATTCCGAGCCATTTTATGTACATAATCACTTAAGAAAACTACATGAATAGAATATTAAGAAGTTAACAATCTGCATATCTTCAAATTAAAGCCATGTACTTTTTTTTAGAATTACAACATTGATAAAATTGCTAACCACATGACTTGTCTTGCAAACTATAAAATTGCAGAAATAAAAAGAGAGATTTATGTAATCAAATTTGACGCACTCAAAATAAAAATCATTGACACAAACACATCGCATATTGTGTGTATGGTACCTGGAGAAAGGTTTTAGAAGCTGTTCATATTTTATTGGCTTGAAATATGGAAGAGGGGTGTTGAATTTGTGAGGGCTTTTGATATTTATACCTCACACTCTAGAATGCATCAAAATCAACAAATTTATTAAATCCTACAAATTCCATGACTTTTTGAAAACTCTCAAATTTGAAAAATCACTCTAAAAATTTGGATTAAATATCGTCAGACTTTGACCAACTCTTTATAAGTCCAAATTGAATACAACTTGCATTTCACTAATTCAATTAAAATCTTAATTGAATACCCATGAATTTTTAAACTCTCACATAATCCTAATTGAATACAACCCCCCCTAAGGCTATATTTGGGTGGGAAATTTTCAAGTCTATAGAATTTGAGTCTAAATAAGGAAGAAATCGACTATCATGCGTTCATGACCGAAAAAAAAAAAGACTATCATGGTTGGAGTACAACTCAGGTAGGTTTGAAAGTCAGCTTACAATTCGGGTTTCGTATAAGGGGTTGCTTTTACGGAGTGAGGATCCTTGTCAAATTCTCTTTGTGAGGATATTTAAGATCATCAAATCATATATGTGTATCATATATCATACGATCAGAAATTGTTGTAAATATTTTATTTAAAATTGAATATAAACAGTACTTGATAAAGACTGACTACTTGATGTACGACAAACGAATGTGATTAGATGATCCTTGAAATTCTAACAAAAATGATCCGGTGAGCAAGGGCGGAGGCAGAAAATATTTTATGGGTGGGCTAGCTAAAAAAATTACCCTAAAATCAAATTTATTTATTTTTTGGTTTTTGCTACATACGTATTCTATGCAAAAATTTAAGTTTAACTTTTGTATTTATATACTTAAAATTTGTCTGGCAGGAACTCAATAAGCTTCGTAATTGCAAACTAACAAAATTACAATGAATCATCAAATTTCACATATATTTAGATTTAAACACAAGAAGAAGATAGAAAACTTGATATCTCAATGACAATCACACAACTAGATCAAAGCAAAACACTGAAAGTAGAAGTAAAGACAATATTAAAAAAATTGGTTGAAACTAATATAAACCCCACTATATCAAAGCAGAATAATCTCGAACAAAATGACATCACAATTTTCGTGGTAATTTTTATATTTTTAGTTGTGTTAAATACTCACTGGGCTAGTTTCATTAAAAATAATTCTTCTTACACATTTTTTTATCAATTATATCTACACACTAAATTATATATACATATTGCTACAAATCCTCCCTGAACTACAACCCACCGTAGCTCTTAGTGTGGCTACGCCATTGCCGATGAGGATCCTCTCACGCTTTTACGATATTGAATTTGACGCCACTATATGAATTTTTTTTTTTCCCTTTCTTTCAATGACCTATAAACGAAGAGGGGCAATTTGAAGTTTCTTTAATAGTGAACCATAAGACTTTTCTGCCTTAATAAAATAAAGTGGTATTGGCCGATTTCTCCTCTTGTCCACCCTTCCTGGGAACTTGTAAAAAACTGCAAATTTCTCATATGAAGTTTAACTTAAACCGTTTATCCCCTGAAATTTAACAATTGGTCAATTCCCCTTTTGAATTTTAATGTTAGTCGATTACCTTTGAATTTTATAATTGACCAATTTTTTCCCTAAAGCTAAAATTCAAACAAAAAATGTACATAGTGAACACAGGAAAAGGAGAAGAAGAAAAAATATATATTGTTCATATCAGGGATAAAATTACTTTTTTGCAATTATAATATTAAAATTTATGAAAAATTTGCCAATTATAAAAGTTCAGGAAGGTAAGTGACTAACATTAAAATTCATGAAAAAAAATTAACAGCTCCTCACAAATTCGAGAAGAAAATCAACAAATATCTCTAATATAAGTGAACAACCATTTAAAACAAATGAAATTATTATTTTTTTTAATACAGTGATATTACTCTTAGGCTTTAAACCACATTTAAAAAGAAAAAAGTAAAAGCCCCAAATTGTTTATGATTTTCCCAATAAAATGAGTTAAATATGAGTGGGTCCGGTTTATGAGGGTAAGGCATCAACCCAACCGCACTTAAAAAATAATTGGATTGGGGTTGATTGGGATTAGCCAATTTTCACTTAAAATGCTCGTTTGGAAGAATTTTTAAAATGACTGAAATCATTTTTAGAGAATATTTCTGGGTTTCAAAAACACTTAAAATGCTTTCTGTAAGAAGCATCAGTTATGTGATTCTTATAAGAAGCACTTCAAGTGTTTGTTCAGGATTCACTTGCATTTTTATTAAAGATTGTTCCAAAAAGATTGGGTTGAAATTTATGTTGGTTTCCGAGTTGAACCAACTCAAATTGCACTCAATGCATCGCTGTGTAAAAAAGTTAAAACACATTATAGGTGATAGGTTTGACGTACAAATTCATTTGGACATGAAGAATGCGACACACATTGTCACTAAGAGTATCTCCAAGGGGAGTCCCTATTTAGGGATTTCCACCGCTACCTTTAAGGACTTATTTAGGAACTTAAAGAGAATCATTGTTCCCTAAAAGAATAGTATCTCCAATGCAAAAGTCTCTATAGTATATACCCTAAATTTGAGGTTTATATAATAAAAATCCAAGAGCAAATTTAGACATTGATTTGCAATAGAAAAAAAAAAACTAATGAAAAGGGCTTGAAAACTTTGAGTTTTAATGACAATGACAAAATAAATGGTAAAGTGAATAGTAGCATGATTGACTTTTTCGTGTAAAAATGTGGTTTTTCGTTAAAGTGAACAGTACCGTGGGCTTTTCATTAAAACTCCCATAAAAAAAAAAGCATGTGCATTGCAGGGCCCATGTTGTAGCTGAGTCAGTAGCTATCTGGCGATTAGTAGGACAACACGCGTTTGGAGAAAGTAGCTCCAGAGTTACATGTAAGCTTTCATGTGGGTGTGCCTCATTTCCCACTCAAAATCCCAATGGGCTCCATCATGGTTGTCCTTATATAGTCCTCAATTGTGAAGAAATTTTTAGGGCTGCGAGAAGTCCCTCTATTGTAGGGATTGGAGCTCTGCCCATTAGAAACACTGTTCTAAAAATCGGCCTAGGCGGCGCCTATTCACTGGGCGGTGGAGCCCCACCCCGATTTTGGGCAAGGAGTTTGGAAAAATCGGTTGGAAGCTAGTCGACCGCCTAGGCGGAGAGCTAGGCGGCCCTAGGCGGTCATAGGCAGTGTTTTTTTTTTTATATATTTTTTTTTTATTAATTGTGTGCCTCTTTCTTTTTTGGTTTCATGACGGTATACTTATGGAAATGATGTACCTAATTTGCAAATGATGAATTTACTACAAGTTCATCCAATACTTATGGAAATGGCATACCTAATTTGTATTTTATCATTATTTTATTATCTATACAAGTATAGTTTTTTTTTTAGGTGTAAATGAGCACTTATTTACAATATATATAATAAATTTACATAAATCCGTTTATACCGCCTGCCTAGCTTTCTTGGTGCCCCTTCCCACCGCCCGACTAGGGCCTAGCAATTTTTAGAACCTTGATTAGAAACCACCAAGTCCTTAAATTTAAAGACATATGATGGTATGGACTGTTTTTAGGGCACCATTGAAGATGCTCTAATGATTTACAACTTGTTCTATTTTCTTTTCTTCTTCTCATAAAATAAGTACTTTGATACCATAAGTCCTAAGTCGGGTACACAACAGAAAACCAAACCTGGAAATTCGTTTTCAAGCCTCGGTCACTTGTGGGTGGGCCTTTGAGTTCGTATTTGTCTAATATTTGGGCAATAGTGCAGTAAGTTCACATCAAATCAAAGCCTGTTCTGTGTGTATCCATATGATCAGGGGCTTTTCAATCACGTCAGTCCCCCTTATTCTCCGTCTGTGCGCTTACCATCGCTTTAGCCATACGATCAAGGGAATTCCAATCTGGGCCAGTGTCCTAATCCCATCTGCATTAGGACTAGAACATCATTAATAATGGTTTTTGGACAAGGATATCTCGCATAAAAACATACACAATCTATGTTTATAAGACGAAGAGTTTAAATCTGAGACGCAGTGGATTGAAAAGAAAGATTATAGTCAATTGACAATGATCACGTGGAGGTTTGAAGTTCTAAAATCTAATGAATTTTAAGCTAGCCATGATTGCTAAAACTGGATGGAGAATATGATCACACCAATACTCTGTAATCATTGGTTCTTTGTTTTTGTTTGTTTTTTTTTTTTTGGTATAAATCCTTATTGTATACAAAAATAAACAAGAACAAAATCAAATTAAAAACATAAAAATAAGAAGATTACCACCATACCAGTGTAGGAGACGTATCAAGGAATTTAGCTTTATATTCTCTGCTCTTGCCTCTAGATTTATAGGCTATCCATTCCACTCGACATCCCTCTCTCAGCAAAAGTGTTTGCTTTGGGACTCTCTCTCTCTCTCTCTCTCTCTCCCTCCCCCTCTCCTGGGCAAGTGACCATTGACAATCGGCGTCGTTTTTCCACACACAAAATGTGATTGAAGTCTCTCACTTTGGGTTTTGTTTCCGAATTCCGATATGACCATTGCTCCCTCTTTTATCCTCACAAAACACAACCACCACTCCCACTTACGCAACAGCCACCGTCATCGCCACCGTCGACCTGCTTCCCCAAAACCCACACTCAAGTTCACACCTTTAGTCAACACCCAAATTTTAAAAATTGACCCATGATCTTCTCTCGCAGCGACGACGATTAGTGTTTCGACCCACCACCCCGGCGGCGGCGGCGGATATGGATCACCGCGACCCCAACCAGTCCCGCCTCATCGGAGACTACATACTGGGCCCCAAAGTCGGGTCGGGTTCCTTCGCGGTTGTTTGGCGCTCACGGCACCGACGACTCGGCACTGAAGTTGCCGTCAAAGAAATCGACAAGAAGCCGCTCAGCCCAAAAGTCAGCGACAACGTACTCAAAGAAATATCCATTCTCAGCACCATCAACCACCCCAACATCATGCGCCTTTTCGAGGCCATCGAGGTTGTTTTCCTTTTTTCCGAGGTTGTTTTGTTTTTGTTTCCTTATTTTTTCCGAGTTATTTATGTATGTGTAATGTTGGTGGTTTGGGGATTTTGGCAGACCGAGGACAGAATCTACCTTGTGCTGGAGTACTGTGACGGCGGCGACCTGGCGGATTATATTCGCCGACATGGGAAGGTTTCAGAAACTGTTGCCAGGCACTTTATGAGGCAATTGGGTATTTTTCTTTTTCTGTGATCAATTCTACTTTTAATCCAAGTTTTTAATGGAAGTTCATATTTTTGGGGGATTTAGATAATTGGGTTTGCCTCCAACGCTTTTCGGATTAAATTCGGGCACTTTAGATGGATAAAAGTTGAATGGTTATTGAATTGTTGGCCAGTTTGGTTTGTGTTGTTTCTTAGATATGGAAATAATGTTTGGATGATTAGGTTAATTAGGCTGGTGGGAATGTTCTTAATTTGATGGTTTAGCTGTTTTCTTCCTTTTTTGCAAGTGGGAATTTTGACATGTTTGATTTGGATTCTCCTGAACAGCTGCAGGCCTGCAAGTGCTTCAAGAAAAGCACCTCATTCATAGGGATTTAAAACCGCAGGTACTGCGCTTTTTTGTTTTGTCGCGAGTCATGATTCTTGAGTGTGTATGTTTATGAAGTTTGAGATTTTTGTCGATTACTGTTGGAAAAATTGGATTTTGTTTTTCTTGGTTCGTGACTTGTTGATTTCTGGCTGAAATTGTAGAACTTACTCTTGTCAACGACGGTTGAAGATACCCCACTGTTGAAGATTGGGGATTTTGGTTTTGCAAGGTAAACGACTTATATTCTTTTCGACTTTTCCCTATTCCACATTGTTTTTTTAATTTATAGCTGCAACCTGAGTAAAAAAGTTTACTTATTAGGCTTGTGTGATATCATGCTTTGACAATAGTTTCCAAATGGAATGGTAACATATCCAACCAATATGAATTCAGCACTATCCCAATTATTTGGCTTTCTGATAAGCAGGATAAATTATTTTTGTGCCGTTTACTTATATTGCTAAGAAGGATTTTTCTGTTGTACATCAGTTTCTGAGTTCCCTCTGTTATCCAAATCTTCCATTCATAACCTGTGGTTTATGAAATTAACATCAACTACTGAGAGATGCAGATATATTTTGTAATTTGTAGAAATTTGAGATGGCATGAACTGTTTCGATGGTACGTAGAGAGATTTATGAAATTTTTCACCACCTCCTCTCTGAAGATCAATTTTTAAAAATGATCTGAAGCAACTTCAGTTGACAATATACGAAAATAAAACATCAGTGACAATTATTTGTAAATGTATATTGCACTTGGTCATTGTCTTGATGTTCCTGTCTGCAGATCCCTCATTGGGGGCTTGGCTGATACACTATGTGGTTCACCACTGTACATGGCTCCAGAGATTATTCAGAACCAAAAGTATGATGAAAAGGTGATAGAATATGAAACTGACATTGCTGACAACGTTGCAGGGATCTCTGCCCTCTTTATTCATCTTTAATCTGTTATTATGGTCTTTGCAGGCTGATTTGTGGAGCGTTGGAGCAATTTTGTTTCAGCTGGTGACCGGGAAGCCACCATTTGATGGGAATAATCATGTACAGGTCTGTGGAAATCTTAATACATACATACATATATATATATATATATATACACTTTTTTTTTTTTTTTTTTCAGTCATAAGATTTTAGGATTTGCATCACATATTCTACCCAGGTAAGGGCTGACTATATGAAATATATGTTATATTTATGTTAGATTTGGAAGTGTTATCTTGTTTATTTTAATGATTTATACTGTATACAGCTTTTCCAAAATGTTCTGACATCGACTGAGCTGAGGTTTCCAGATGGTGCTTTAGAAGAATTGCATCCAGATTGTGTAGATCTCTGCAGAAGCCTGTTACGTCTAAATCCAGGTCATGATTGTTATATAAAGAATTTTCTTTTGTTATGCTCGTAGTTTAACTAATTTATAATCAGAGTCAAGAAAGTGAGAGTTCACTGCTAGTGTCGTGTGAATATCAAGAGTTTACTTAACCCTTCAACAAAGCTACCATGTAAAAATTAATACTTCAATTTGCAGCTGAGCGACTATCATTTACGGAGTTCTTCAATCACAAATTCCTCAGAGATTCTAGGTAAAGCATTTGGTTTCATAGCTTTCAAAGCGCATGATTTATTAGTTATAGTACATTTGAAATTTTGTACAAGTTGGATATCCAGTAAGGAAGATATCTTATACCATATACCCATGTAGTCATTACAATAGTTTCTTATATTATAATCTGTAGGTATCAAGTGGATGTTGGTCACCCTTCAGTGCTTCCACCGCGTCAATCCACGGTCGAACAGCCTAGTTCTTCTGTCTCCGACAATATACTGCAAATGCATTTCTGGCAAACTACCAACTCATCTATTACCCGAGATCCAAACTCGCAGGATCAGCTTCGAGGTCTGTAATTGTGTTTGGGATTCCCTATTTATCCTTGTGCTTCTTTTGAATTATTTATTTTGGTTTTCCTTGCTTGTCCAGTTTCTGATTCAATGGAGTCCATCGAGAAGGACTATGTTATGGTTGATTCTTTCTCTCATTACCTTGAATCTTCCCTGCCACTTCATTCCACAACGGGAGCTTCTCTCAAGGCTTCAAAGCAGAAAGATCGTGATAAAACAGTTATAGTGAAAACCGAGGAGCAGCTAGCTAGTTCTGTGGGTGCAGAAAGTTCACAAACTAGCGGATCAGCTAAATTACCAGCATCTTGTGAATCAACACTGTTACTAGAAGTGCAAGGACTCTCTATACTGCATCCTTCTACTAGGCTCCATCTTTTACATCAGTATGCTCAGGTTCTTGCAGACTTGTCGCAGGAAAAGGTGCGTCAGTTACAGTTATACATTGTGGAATGTGCTCATCTCATTTTGTTGCACTGGATATCATGTATTTAGTTCAGTATCATAGTATGTTTTATTTACAGGAGTGTATCAAAGAACTTAATTATATTAGCATGATTAGACAAAACTCTTGACTTTTTTGGGGTTTGTATTAAAGTAATTGTTACTTTTGGTTGCAGTACAATGCAGGACTATTTCTAGACTCGTTTTCGGTTCAACTTCTTGTTTTGGCCATATGGAAGAAATCTATTCAAATTTGCAGCACTTGGCTGGCATCATCTAAAGAGGATAAATCACCTGAAGGTAGCTCAGCGAATGAATCCTTGCAGGGAGGTGCAGCCTTATCAACAAAAGCCTCAGAAAATGTAGATTTTAGCCGGCCTTCATCTGTTTTGATGTGGGCAGAGCAAGGTTTCATTGATGCTGTTGATCGAGCAGAGAAGCTATCCTATCATATCCAAGAAATGGATGGTTAGTGTGTCAGAAACTGTCTGTGATCACAGTTTTTAGTTTTCTGCTTATATTCTGCTGATTAAGTGATATATATATAGCAGGTGCTGCTGAATTGCCGGATGCCATGGAAATTATTTACCAAAAAGCGCTCAAAGTTGGCACAAGTGGTGCTGTAAGTAAACTTGCACAAGTGCCCCCTTCTTTCTTTTTCAAATTACATCTCTAATAATGTTTGCAGATTGCACAATCGTTGACCATTTAGATTCTGCCCATGTATTTCCAGGTAGACGAATACATGGAGAACAAAGGCAGTGTCGAAGCATTGTACTCCAAGGCTATGCTTCTCCTTTCTTTTATTGCAGGAGAAGCAACGTCTCTGCCACTAACACCTCCGTTTTCCCTAACTCCTGCCAACAAGCAGCGAATCCAACAATATATTCAGAACTTGGAGTCCCGTCGGATCAACTTTCTGAAATCACAGCCTGCTCCTGTGCAAGCCCGCGGCTCCTCGGCAAAGTAAATATGACTGCCTCTGTACAGCCCTTATTGACAAACCGGCTTTTTCTGTGTATATTACTGGTATGGGGGTAAATCGTGGTCAGATCGGAGGGAAGTTTTGAACTCTGGGGGGATGATCGTGAGACATATATATATATATATATATACACACACACATATATCTACTGGATAGGGGACTGTATATAATATAGCCTGTGCAGGGAAGGCAAATGTGGAAGGAAGGAGATGGCCTTTTTTGCATGAGTTTATGTAAATTAAGTTCTCTATTCTTTATATGGAAACAGAACAACTGTAAATATGGAATGGTGGTAATTTCTCCCTTGTAAATTAAATGCCAAATTTCACGCTTTTTAGTTGTCTCCCAAAAAATAAAAAATAAAAAAAATAAAATCCACGCTTTTTAATTTTTACTACTGTTTATTCCTGCTCTTTCCTCTTTACTAAATACAAGGACTAACTGCATTTCACGAGGGATTTTGAAAATGGGTCGTCAAGTTTAATTGTTTCATATTACAGTCTTTGGTTTAGTGGACTATTTGATCTTTCATTAAATTGAGATGACAAGATGAGCGTGCAACTCTCAATTGGAAGAGCATTTTCAAAAGAGATGACAATAACATTAAAAAAGGATTACAATAATGTTTTCCAACTGAAATGTCAATTCTAATGTGGCAATGGCATGACGTGGATTGGCAACAAAGTGGTGGCTGCCAAAATTGACACAATTAACCAATCCTGCTCTAGCCACGACCTTTGCACATTTGGATGCTACTACCGTACTATCAAGAGGATTAGCTGCCAAGGATATTTATCCAGTAGTAGATCTCAAATTCATTTTTATTTAATTATTAAATGTTTTTTTACCATTTTAATTATTTTTTTTCCAAAAATATTTATTATATTATAAAAAGTAAATAATATAATAAATAATAGTTTAATTTGACATATCGGCTACAAAGAAAAATTTTAAAAAACATCAGACTACCCACATAGCCTTTCAAATTAAAATTTTATATTTAAAATTTGACGACTTCTTTAGAGATACTCTGAGCTGACACGTAAGCCATATTTGTTCCACATTTGAGAAAAGAAACTCATCCATTTAAAGAAGATTGGATGTTCAAATGGACAAAATGAATAAATTGATACAATTCCAAAACCTTATGCAAAGTAAGAAAATAGGAACCACGTAACTCAGTATGAAAACCATTTTAAACTTACAAGGCTTTAAATGTAGTTAGCCCGAAACATAATATTAGTATAAAACATATTATATTTTTACTTACAAAGGGATTGAAGTCAACATGTAAACCCACAACCCATTTTCTACAACTATAAAACGAGCTGAAGAAACACACAAGGGGTAAAGGGATAAGGGATCTAATGTTAGGGTTAGGGCATCAGCAATTTGGCATAGAGACTTGAAATGGCTATGAAAACATGAATGTCCAAAAGCTCCTTACATGACATGACAAAATGCGTGTGCCATTGAACTCGCAAGAACACCAGGGTTTCTGGGCAACCTTGCAGGCTGCATTTCAATAGCGATGATGAGTAAAATCGTCAAAACAAGAGTCTATAAACTCCGAAAAATTACTTGTGCATCAAGGATTTCTCTTAATAATACAAATAAAAGATGTAATCATCAAGGTCCATCAATCAAACACTTGGAATGTACTTTATCGAGGGTCTAATTACGCGAGTCTACAACTGCAGTTGCAGAGGTTCGAGATAGTGAAACGATCAAATGTAAATAGATTATGGTACACACGCCAAAGAAAAGTTTCTGATCTGCTGGAATCGAAATTAAAACACAAACGAACTATATAAAGGAGCGGAAAATACAACCTGCGTGCAAAAACAAAGGTTTCCATTGATTTTGCACACAATATGGAATGTCAAGTTTGAGCTTCCCCTTCTAAGCGTAACCTCTTCGGGCCCTTCTCTTCGCAGTGGCTGCCGGCATTGGCCACCCGGTTCTCGTTGGCCTCTACGGAGCACCTCTTGTAAGGCTTGAATCCTGTTCGACGGGCCTTGAGTTTCCCTTGGCTAAGTCCTAGTGTCAGTAGCCCTTCTGTGTTGCTGCCTCGTGCTGGTGACACAATTTTCTCCGCTTCTGGAGGATACGGAAATGACATCCACGAATAGAAGTCAAATTGTGATGCATATGCATCTCTATCTTTCTTGTCAGAATTTTGATTTGCTGCTTCTGTAGCATCCTGATGCTCATTAACCTTGAGGCAGTGTGAAGGCGGTGAAAAACTCTGGGGCAGTACCTCTCTTGCGAATAGCGCTTGAAAGGCCATCCGGCCCTAACAAAGGTATTTAACATGATAAGAGACTAATTGATTCACAAAAAAAAAAAAATAAATATTGATCAAAATCGATTGCTTCAGATATATGTTAAACTACCTCTTCAGAAACCTCTTTCCATGGATCATTCATGTTGCTGATACTTCTACTGCGACGATAATTAGAATCAGATGCTAAGAGATTTAGATCAAGTTCTTTTGGTTCTTTAGGTTCTTCTGGTTCTTCTGTGCCTTTCTCATGCTTCTCTAATGCATCTGTCTCTACTTCGCTGCCGGAAGGTGTGTTGGAGCCACACGAAGAATGGTCAACCTGACATTTGTTTATTATTTTAATAAGAAACACACGTTTTATTGAAAATACGTGAAAGGTACAAAGCATTGAAAGGAGGACTAGTAGTCAATACTATGCAACCGAACGATATCAAAGAAAACCTGTTTTCTACTCTTTGCATTGTCTGAATCATTAACTTGAGCAGTTGATGCCACAGCCTTCTCATCATCAGCAGACTTCAATTCTGTATTAGGCTCTGCACCTCCATTATCAGAGTGTGATGATGACCTGTTTGGTGATTGTGAAGCTAAATGCTGAGCATCCACAGCTTCCAAGTGTTCCGGCTCCAATTGTTGATCCTCTGCAGAAGGAATTTGAAGAGAATTCTCGCCTCTCTCTGTCATCACTGCGGGATCTTGATCAGTATTCACTGATGGAACCCCCCCAGTCATGGGCATGGGAGGGCAGCTCAAAGAAGTTTGAACAGGAGCGCACAAGGGAAGCAATCCATGGGCTGCCCACCATGCAGTTGCAGCAGCTACAGTGGCAGCAGCAATTGCTGCCATACTTGGAGGGGAGGTCGGTGGAAAACCTCCAGCAGAGGAGCATGCAGGAGAGTCTTCCGTATTTTCCACATTTGCATAAGGCCAAAATGTGGCTGCAAAGCTAGCCGCAGCATGGGCTGCAGGGTTTTGTAGCAGAGACGACACAATAAGGCTAGAAAAAGTTGAGGAAATGTGGTGAAATGATTGGTAGTCCTTTTGACCATGGTGGAATGGTGTGAAGGGAGGGTGAAAAGCTGGAAACGATTGGTGAATAGTAGATCTTGATGCATTACTTTCATGTTCAGTAGTAGTAGATGCCGCTGGATTTGCAAACAGGTTAGGCTGTCCATGAACCTTCCCCATAGGATGGAAACCGGAGTCAGGGAATGACATATCTGCAGGTGTAGTTTGATTACATGCTCCTACGCTGCCATCCAGTACATGTACAGGAACATTCCTTGGGTAGTTCTGAGTGCCTTGCATCCCATCTGTTGGCAATGCACAATTCAAATCATCTGCTTTCTCACCTTGAACCAACTTCTTATGAAGAGCATTAGTGTTCTCTGACACTGAGGCTCCACTTGTGCCATTAACTTGAACTATCTTTTTGGCATCATTTTTCTTCATATTCTGATTTCCATTAAGTTCAATAGTAACATAAGATTCAGTTGTTACATCTTGACTTATTACCTCTTTCAGCGAAGGCACAAACTCCTGAAAAGTGCAAGCGTTTCTCAGCACCACCTGTGTAGGTATAGAATTTTTGTTTGCAGTAGAATCAGAGGAACAATTATGTTCTTGGAGCAAAGTGAAGGCTTCTGAGCAATTTTCATCCTGATTTTCTTTTCCATTTTTCGGATTTTCTTCTTCAGTAGGTCTCTGATAAGGAAATTGCAGATTAAGTACTATAACATGAACCGTGAGAACATAAAAAGTCCTTGGATTGAAAAAATGGATAATATAAATAATAACCTCATGAGGTGGTTCTTTCTCCAAATCCACTACTTGTGGACAGTGTGAAGAAGATGCTGTAGATAAAAGTTTTCCATCCTTTGCTCCCACATGCGGAGTGGTCAATGTCGTGGCAGCTGAACTAGACTTTCGAGGGTAAGGATTGCTTGGTTTCCTCTTGGGACGTGGAGGCGGGATATCTATGTCAATTGATTGTCCCATTGGAACACCTTTATTGTGTGCCTCCTTCTCCAGCTGAAAGCAAAACCTTTTTGCGTCAGTATTCATATTCAAAGTTTGATATAAGAATTATTGGAATGGAGCGAAATGCCTCGATTACTCAGGTGAATTTGGAAGAGCTCGAGAATAAAAAATTTAACCCATTTTTTTTTCTTTTCTGAAATATGTATGTGATAACCGTACAGAAATTGTAGACCCAGAAAAAACTAGTGCATATCAATGTAATGTGTAACAATGCTTAAGAAATGTGTACTCTAGTCTCTAGGCGGAAGAGGAGAAAGAAAGAGGATAATGACCTCATGGTATGGTCTAGGAGTGTTAATATGAAGAGGACGATGGCTTGAAACTTTAAGTCATTTTCAACTATCCATAAGTAAGCGGCTAAAATGTACGACACTGGAAACTCTTGAATAAGAGCAGAAACTTTTTGCCCTAAAGTTCCCAAGACCATTCTGGAACAACTCCATTGTAAAGTTAAAAGGGTGACGTCCATTGATACCCTCAATAAATTGAACTCTATGTTTCAGATGAGAGATGAGTTCCGATTGAGGATACAACAATAATCAGAGGAAGTTGATGGCACATTAATTCATTGGGACCGACCAATTTACGACAACATCTAACATGGTCCCCCAGAGTTTACATTTGTTTACCTACCAAATAAATTTGTATACGATATTTGTTTCTCCCTTATAGCTTCTAAAATCTGATTCCAAACAAATGGAAACTTAAATATTCATATAGTACAGATAAGCATTAGAAAAAGTAAATGATCATATTCACGGTTTCAACAAGATTTCGGGTGGCTATGAGAACAAGTACGATGGAGGTACTGGAGCAAAGATTTTTCTGTTTATCTCTGCTGCCTGATGAATTGAGCTACGTTTCTTTAAGTTTAAAGCTTGTCCAAAGTGTAGTTGGAAACAAATCATGTGCGCTTCCAATCACCTAATCAAAGTCCTAGTAGACAGAACAATCTACGCTAATCATCTACTAAGTGCATCACTTTTTAGTCCAAAATTTGCCTGTTAGCCCGTCACATAAATGGGTATATTGCAACAGTTTCCCAGTCACTGATCTGTATGGAAGTAACCGAACTACGGATAGCTGCACTAGTATGATCATGTAAGAGCAACCTATATAGTTTTTCAAACTCCCTAGGGTCAAGCCCTCCCCTAAAATGAATGACTAGAAAACGCTCAGTAAGGACCATGACAGACATCTTCACAGCATGAACAAAAAACACACACAATCCATTAATTGATATTTTCCAAACTGCAGATCGCATATTACATCGTTTTCTAACAAAATGTTCCAAGGGGAGGGGAGAGTCATAAGGTCCATAGCGACTTTTTCATATTACTCCCACTGTACATCTATACCCATAAAAGACCAAAAACCTATATATTTCCCCAAACTGTACTCTCTGTTTCACCTTTAAACCTAACAGTAAAGTTTTCTTTCATTGAAGCCTAAGTGTAACCACTGTAGTTGAGCCAAAATTTCGAACGGACTGTAGTAAGAAAAAAAATCGTGTGCCCTTCTATCCATACGTAATAAGCATCCTAGAAGGCTTATGCATGAATCAAAGTCGTAGTAGACCAGTCAATCTAAGCTAATTCGTGTTCAGTTTTTAGTTAGCAAACATCACTCTGAGTATGCAGAGAGAATAATCAGTGTACACATCATAGTCCATAATTTGCTTGTGGTCTTTTGACATAAATGATATATTGCAACCTCCCAGTTACTGATCTGTACAAATGGCTGCATAGGTATAATGATGTGAGGCCAACCTATATAGCTTTCCCAACTTTCAAGGCTGCCCTTTTCTATAAGGTCAGGCCCTCCCCTAGAGTGGATGACTAGTAAACGTTCACTAAGGTGCTAACTGACATCTTTTACTTTTTGGTTTCATGGCTACCATCTTCAGGGTATTAAAAAAACACAATCCATCCACCGATATTTTCCTAACTGTAGATGAAATATGGACAGTCAGATGGTCGATAAAGACTTTATCATGTTATATCTAAGACCTATCGTATAGTGCTGAAATCTCCTTGACAACATCATAACAATTGGCCTCCATTTTTAACAAAAGTTTCTTTCCAAATTTTCCATTAAGATCTATTTTTGGAGATAAACTATTGTAGAGGAATTTCTTGACAAAGAGTGAGAATGAGCAAGAAACTATGCAGCTAAACTAAATTCCCTCACCCTCAAAACTCAAAAAACTAATAGCCGTCTTTGTTCAAGTTTGAAATTTTATTTCAGTCTAGTCACAGTACATTTGATATGTCATGCATAAGCATTAAAAATGCAAAGATAACATTTTCACCCAATGTATGGCTTGCCCCAAACTACTGATGGTTGAGGGTTTGCTTCATGGAAAAACAACATCACTGAAAACTGTGGTACGGGCAGCTACATCTTACCCTTTCCAGACCTCATAATGATGGGAACCATATGCACTGGTCCATCCTTTTTATCAAATTTAGTATGGCTAGCAAGCTTATGAATGAACAAATGCACTCTACTAGAGTAGCATTTACAAGAATCTGTAACGGTCCTCATAAGTATTTCATAGCTAAATGAGATCACAGGATGATTATAGTCACAGCAACGGAAATATGTGACACCTGTTATTATAAAATAAATTACCAACTGCATTTTATAAAACCCTAGTAGTGCAAATTAAAGGATCCATGTTTTGGAAAACCAAGCATTCGGAATCAAAAATGTACATATCAAATAACCATAAGGTGAGAAGGTACCCATTAACCTTTGAAAAGAACTTCTGAGCATGACTCCTGATCTGCACAGCAGTCTTCGTTCCAATATGTTCTGTTAAACAAAAACAGAAGAAAAGGGGGGAGAAGAGGATAAAGATGATGTCTCAAATAAGGAAAAAAATGTCAAAAATAAGGTTTCGAGTCATTTCTAACAACAGATATTTAGCAGATTGAGATCGAGACTAACAAGAAATACAGTTCATAAATAAAAATCAATCCACTTGCAGCCCTTTCCCAATAGCTATAAGTACAGAAATGAACTCAAGGGATACTACCAAATTAAAGCTAATGAATTGTAACCTTCAATGCGCTGCCATGCTCGGCCATAGAGCTTCAAGGCATCAAGAAACCTATTATGCTCCTCCTCTGTCCATCGCTCTCGTTGCTTGGTAATCGTATAAGGCTTTCGTGCCTACCATTAACAAAAATCCAATAATCTATCTACTTAGCACTCACTAATACACACTCAAATCCAATGATTCATCTACTTAGCACTCACTAATATACTTCCAATTTCACCAAAGCAGACTCCAGCCTATGTTACCTTGATGAAAGGGTCTTCTCCAGATGAGTTTGTGTCCATTTACCGGACTCAGGTAGCTCGCGCTGCTTCAAGTCCTCCCTGACGAGCAATGGATAGAACAAGGACCTTCTCTCATTTGTAAAAGCTCCGAGAGCTATTACGAGTAAAGCCGTCTCGGTTGTACTACTAAAGAAAAGCCGAGAAAGTGATGATTCTACTCCTACAGCTACTGCAAAAGAAAAATAAGGCACAGCAATCGGTAGAGATCCGTCTCTGGTTCTAAAGCAGTAGAATTAAGCAGTCCAATTTTCACATGAAAGTAAAAGAAACCGAAAACTGAATCGAAAGCACAAGTGATCGAATTAAAATTTCAGATTCCACCGCAACACGGAGAGAGCTAGATGGACGCTTCTCCGAAAGTACAAAAATAAATTTCTTTATTCAGAATCCTCACCAAAACGAACCGGTACACGCCAAAACCTTTAACTACGAAGCAAGAACAAACATGGCGAACAATAAGAGAGAGAAAGTTCGATCAGTAAATAAACAGGCCATTTCTATAGTGACTCGGACCTTGTTCTCCAATCTTAACACATCTGTTTGGTTGCCGAGAAAATTAATCAAATCAAGCCAGATAATTCAGCTCAATTGTTCAAAACCGAAGCTTATTCATCACTTCCTCAGCTCAGATGAACTTCCGAGTCGGTTTCTCAATCGAAAACGAAGCTCAAAAGCTCATTTTTCACTAATTCATTCGTTAATTTTGATAAAATTGTTGAGTTTTCTCATCAGCAACCAAACGGAGAATAAAGAACAAGGCCGATTCCAAAAGAAAACGAAAGCGTACCTTCTGAGACATCCATGGCGGATTCAGAGCTTTCTATTCGAGAAGAGCGACTGACAGAGTCCGGTAACTCACCGGAAATCCGCCGGATAAGGCATAGTTTCCGGCAATGGCGACTGGATCCGAACCGTTCGAAAACTCAATTGCAAAAACCAAAAACCAAAAACCAAATCCAAGAGCCTCCACAGAAGAGTATAATATAGAGAGAGAAACAGTGAGCTTGGGTGAGGAGAAAGAAAGCGCTCTTAGTCAGAGAGACCTAACGCCAAAGCTCCCAGAAGCTCCAGTTGTTGCGAGCAACGAGCAATCTCAGCCACTAATTATTTTCCTCCCATTTTTCCTTTTTTTTAATTAATTAATTTTTTTTTGAGGCTGCCGAAGCCTCACAGCCTCCCTCCTTCCCACGACGTGCCTCAGGATCACGACACGTGTCGAACACTTAGCGGCTCAGTGCGTCTTAGGCTCCTAGCCCACACATCCGCTTTTTGCTTTTTCTATTTCGCATTTTTTTAATTTTTTTTCCCTCTTTAATCCTGGATTCTCATCCACAAACTCATCCTCCTGCTACGGCGCCTCCAGCTGTGCGCTGTGGGCCCCCCGATGACGTAGCGTTTGAAGAGTCGGTAATGGAAACAAAACCGGGCAACGGGTCCGTCGCGGGTTGGGTCCGGATCTTCTTTAAATTCTGTTTGTGAAGATTTCCGAATTCGTAAATCGTATCCGTTCATCGTACATTGTGCGGGTTAATAATCATTTTAAATTTTTTATTTAAAATAAAATATAAACAGCACCTGACGAAATATATAATAAACAAGTACGATTCATAAATATCCGGATCCTACAAAGGATTTTGTTAGGGATTTGGTGACTCTTATACAGTACAGACCATCGAACGCGGGTTTGGGCAAGCTGCCACGTGGACATAGAATGGACCATTCACAGGTTAAGGTTCTCACGGTTCGGATCCTCCACGAGGGTGCGGTTGCCTTTTTACGTTTGATGATAAAACGGTCCGTTACATTTTTGGAAAAATTAGGGACGTCCACGTAAACGGAGTTGATCGTGGCCGTTAGATTGCTAGGCCGCCGACATGTTCCCTGCTCTAAATGAGAGAGAAACAAGAAAGGATCTTGGACAGCCACCGAATTGATACAGTTCTTTGTTCAACCTTTCATCTTAATACAGTACATAAAAAATTACTTTTGGAATAAGATGTTAATCAAACCCCATAAGATTATACAGAAGATGAATTTCCAAATTTCAAACTTGAATATCATGAAACAAAAGCGTCATCTATTGCGACATGATCCTTTTCACACTGTTGTATGAAGTTATTAATCCAGGTAAATGTCTTGACTAATAATTCGTAAGTTACATGTTATTTATTAGATACACAGGATACGGATCTTTGGAACTTGTTTTGGCCATGTTAGTCGCCAATCCAATAGAGTGTCTCATTGTCTTGCCCGGTTTGCTCCAGAGGATCATCCAATAGAGTCGCCAATCCAAATTAAACTTAAATTAAAGTATACCAAGATAAAAATTTGCGTGAAGCTTTCTTTTGTGAGAAATTCCTTACATGTTATGGTTTTTTCCTTTCATACATGGAAAAAGTTTCATAACTCATATACACTAGTATTTTCTTGACTTGTGCTAATGGGGTAATATAATGTGTAAAATTGCTTTTGTAAATAACATTGTAACAATAATACGAGTCTAGCATTGCTCTCCAATACACAAGGAAAAGCCATGCCACGTGAAGTAAGTCTACGACTTGAACGTAGCAGATTTACCAAAAAAAATGAGACAAATTTTGTTTTTCTAATATAGTATAGGTCGTTCATAAAATAAAGATTAAAACCATTGCCTGCGATTGTGAAGAGAGATCTGAACCGTTCAAGAAAGATATATTTGAACGTTGAAGAGAGATTGTGTGTGAAGTGGGTAAATAAAATAGGCTAATAGATGTCTCTCGATCCACGGATATGAGTGTAAAGTGCTCGGTCCACGGACATGAGTGTCTCTCGATCCAATATGAACGTAACCTCGGAAGAAAGAGTTTGTGGATGAGGTTCAAAGGTGAAAAATAAAAATAATAAACAAAACTAAAAAGGGCATGTGTTGGGGGAAAAACAAATTCAGCCAAAAGAAATGAACTCAGCCACAAACGATTTGACACGTGGCATAATAATCCTAGCAGCCTCAAATAATTTGTTTACTAAAAACAAAAGATAATTAAAAAAGAAATAGTGGTGTACGTAATATAGGAACGGACAGAGATCCTAGCCGGATCTCATCCCATCAAATCCTAAGGATTTGGAGATTCAAGTCATTGAAATTTGATCAAACGGTTACAAATAGAAGACTCTTCTAAAAATGATAATAATTGTAACTGTTAGATCAAATTTCAATGGTCCGGATCTTTGAATTCTTAGGACTTGATAGGGGAGCTAGGATCTCTGTCCCATAGGAACAAATTGTTACATTCATTGCCAAAATTTGTAAAGGCACATAATATGTCAATTTCTGGTTGGCTGAAATAAATGTTTCAATTTCCTATTGCTTAATGTTTTTCAAAAGTATGTATGATGGATAAAGGATGATCACATTGGAACAAATTTATGTATGAAGAACAATTAGTATTACGGTCTAGTGCTATTTCTCTTCACTTATAAGTAAGATGTTTTAAGTTCGATTTTCGTAAGAAGTGAATTTCAATCACATTATTGATAACTCATTATGAGACTAATCCACCATCCTCTCCTTTAGCGTATAGATAGTATCGTTTGTTAAACAAATATATACGTATGAAGAAGAATTAAGAACATTTACCAATCTTTTGAGGCCCTTATCCTCTTTCTTAATTTCTTTGTCCTCTCTTATTTATCACTCTCAACTAATACATCGTTCAATATATTTGGTTGAATGATGGATAAATGTTGGAAAAAGTTGAAACCAAGAGCATTTTTTTTATTTTTATAATTATCTAATTTTTAGTTGTTTTTATATAATTAGTGACAAATTACTTGTAAGAAGAGATGATGATGGGCAGCGAAGAAAGGTACTTCAATACGGGTTTAATCACAGCCAGTGACGAAATTAGGAATTGAAGGACGGGAAAGGGATGAAAAGGGCAAAAGGTCCCAAAAAATTTTAGACAACCAAACATTTAAGACATAGTAGACAATATTAAGTTCATAATGATCAATACAAACAAGTTGTAATTGGTGTAGGTGAGGTTTTATGTCATGAAAAGCATAGCATAATAGGCTCATTATCAATACAAGCAAAAAAATCTATTTCAATTTGTCAGATGTGGAGTTTTATCACAAAAAGCCTCAGTATTAGTTGGAGTGGGGTTGAGATGTTTAAACTCTTCTTTTCACAGAGATATAATCGATGTGGGATATTTCAACAAATTATTCTACTAAGTTATAAGGTGTATTTATAAACATCCAATTCTTAGCGAGAGGTCTTAGGTTCGAATCTCGTGGATGGTGAATTCGATACCAAATTAGGCTGCCCATTGTGTAACTTCGCCGAACTCCCTCTCCCCTTTGTGTAAAAATATTGATGTACTAAAAAATAAAAAATAAACACCCAATTCTTACTGCATCAAATATATACTTACACATGTTGCCATAATATCTCTCCTTTTTGTGGTTGTAAGAAAAATATTTTGTTGATCATACTCACAGACATAGGTGGTTTTGAGATATGAATAATATTCAAGCATTACACTATTTGTGACAACCCGTCTCTAATTTTACGTTTTTATAAATTTTGAAAGCGTGAATTGACGAAAATGCCCTAGAGGCAAGGACTTTGACTTCCGTTAACCCTCATTTAGAGAAACGTATAACTTATTCTTTTAGCGTAATTAAGTCATACTCGTCACTACGAACGCATAGGCGAAAGCCGTTTACGAGGCTGGATTATAATGCTATAGTTATGGACATTTGAAGTTGGTTATTTAAAGGTAGTTAAATTATTTGAACTCCCACCTTGTAGGATTGAGAACCAATCAACATATGGGTTAAAGGGACCAATCTGATTTGGAGGGAGGGACAGTAAGAGCCAATCAAGAAAAGAAAGAAAGAAAAAAAAAAAAAAAAAAAAAAAAAAAGAGAAAAGGGGGGGGGAGCTCCCAGTCTTCCCGTGGCCTTTCACACGCACCCACACCCATTGCGACCACCCCTCTTCCAAGGCCGATTCCGGCCAACTTCGGTGGAGTTTTTCGACGCCACCACCACCATCTTGAAGCTCTCATTCCCCTCTACAAAAACCAACCAAGAACCACCTTGATTAACCACTGTATGAGGCAGTTTGAGACCACGAAAGTCGACGGTTCTCGCGGTGCTTCGGCCACCATTTTCAATTTTTCGGTGAATCGGCAAAGCAATGGCCGATGCCACCACTTGGGCTTTGTAGCCCATCATCCTAGGAGAAAATCCCAATCAACCTTAACCCCGTTGGACCACCGTAGACGACGAATTGACACCGGGAAGCTTTAGGCACCCGTCGGCTTTGTGGGCAAATTTGACTATCTTCCGTCCACTTTTGAACTTCGTGGTAGGCGACGATGGTTCGTGATGTCTCGATTTTCTTGCTAGGGAGTCGTAGCGCGGACCTCAGGTGAGTGGTTTTTCCTTTTATCGTATATAGATATGACTGATAATTCCACAAATGCTTTTAAATTGTTCTATGTATTTTATGCCATGTTATATATATATATGTTACAATACTATGGTATGGTTGAGTTTTAGATTGCATTATGGTATATCTATATGCATATTATTGGCATATAATTCCTGTGAATGCTTTGAAGTACTAAGTTGAACTACGAATGGCTTGATCCCGTTTGAGGGTATGTAGGCAGTTTAACAAGACAATTAGATGTAGCCATAAAACAATCCAAATTTAACATGGTACTTGATTTCTTTAAGGAAATAAGTTATGATGGTTAACAGCGTAAAGATTAACCATGATTTTATTTTGGCCTATTACAGGGTTTAGTTCTGATTAAGGATTTTTAGGACGTTAAAGTCGTTATGCCAAATGACGCTGCGGACACCCAGGTAAGTTTCAGGTGAGTACATGTTGATGATAGTGATTGCAGTGTGTATAGTTATGTTTATATGCATTTAGTGCTCATTATCTTGCACCTCGATGTTAGTGCTCTGCCTGAGGACATGGCCTAGCCTTCATGTGATCGTTCATCTCCCGCACCACACGCTCACCTTGGATCTAAGGTAGGTGCCA